AAGCAGGTAAAGTAAAGCGTAAGCACCTTTAACTCCGTTAAAACAGCTTTAAGGATTAGTTGGACCAGTTGTAAAGCATAAAATAAAGGCAGTTAAATACTGTGATCATCAGATGGTCACATTAACGATGCACCTGACATTCAATAACAGAGATCATTATCAAAGTTGTGTAAAGCTGACAGAAAACAGGTTTGCACCTCYTCCCTTTAATCTGTTGACATTCAAACAACATAACACAGCCAGTGTTACACTTCACAAATTCAGCTGGAGCTAACAAATGAAGCTTCCATCTTTTTTTTTTTTTGTGTGCTGCTTCTTAAAATCGACTTTTTTAATGTTTATTTGTTTCACAGTTTTATGTTAAATTCTGCTTGATGGAAGTTTTCAGATGATTAATGATGCTGAGAGTCAACATTCTTTCCTCCTGACAAACATTTAGCTCCATGTTGGTTTTAAGTGCAGACTGTTGCCTCCAGGCATCATCCCTGCACCCCCACCCCCAATAATATCTTCCCTCTGCTCGCACCTCCACCCTCTGCACAATCATGTTCAGAGCATCTTTATATTACTTCCCTCTCCTCCCTGCTGCCCGTGTGTGTTCAGTGAATCGCTTCACTTGTTATTGTGATCATAAGGATTTGAAAACATCTCCTGGGTCTTCATGGTTCTGCTTTATGGAATCTTTCATCATACATGTCAGGAAGTGAATTCTCTTGGAATATTTATGACCCGTCTGCATTTTGTGAATGAAGTGTTTCTCTCATCATTCACTTATACAGTAGATTCTTCTATTCTCTATAAAATAATGTCTCTWAATAATCTTTGTGTAAAATTCTGTCATGAAAGGAGATGGGCGATGTGCATTCCTCGAAGGAATTCAAACACTAATATTGTGACCCACCCCCCACCAAGTGGGGGTCATATTGTTTTTGTACTGTTTATTAATTTTCAGTGTTATTTGGTCAGTTGTAGCACAGAAACAGCTTCACCGATCAACACGAAATTTGTCAGAAAGGTAGATGAGTCCGGCCTACACTGCTTCAGCCAATGGTTTTACAATAGACCCCATATTTGAGGAGGGGGCTTCATTTGAAAAGCGGGTGTCTGGACATTCAAAAATGCTTATAACTCAAAAACTATTCAACATAAGAGATTCAGATTATTTATTTATTTATTTATTTATTTATTTATTTATTTATTTATTTATTTATTGTTTAGCTCTGATGAGAGGCTATCCATCAGGCCCATCAATGATCCCCCTCCACCCCCCTGAAAAGGGGTTGTCTGGACATACAAACTGCTTATAACTCAAAAGCTATTCATCATAGAAGCTTCAGATTTTTTTGTTGTTTAGCTCTGATGAAGGGCTACCCATTGGGCCCACCAATGAGACCGACACCCACCCCAACTCCCCCCCCCCCAATTTAACAAAAGTTCTGGTGCACTGGTGCTTTGCGTATGTGAAGGTTATATACGTCTATGCTGTATGTAGTTTAAATGACTTGTCAATGTTTGCTTGATATTTGTTGAGACTAAAGATTAGTGTCAGATAGAAATGGACAGAGTTTTGGAATCATAATCTCTTCTCTCTGCTGTTTGACTGTGGAGCAGATTATTTACGTTCAGCGTGGACCACCACAGAGCAGTCGCAGACACAAATTTCACTCCTGCACTTCCTTGTTAACATGCTCTCTGCTTGTCCAGAGCTTATTTTACCGTTAACCCTCTTTGCATCTAATGCAACAGCAGCCAGAATCATTTACCTCACACATTTCATGAAACACGGCGGCCCGCACCAGCAGTCCTGCAACTCTCCTGGGGTTTTATCCAACCAAAGTGACGACGGAGAGCTTTCAGACATCTGTGCTGGAACAAAACAGAAGTATTTGTTGATTAATTACTTAAATGGAGCCAACGGTCAGGGGCTTGGCTTCAGCCAGCTGTGATGGATGAAGAGTCACTGGAACATGTGACTGTGGTGATTAAAGGGAACAATTTAGTGATGCAATCTAAGGCCAATTAAAATGCGACTGCGTCGTCTCTGCAAACTGCACTGATCCAAAAACACAGAGAGATTGGCAGCTGCGGGCCGTTCTGCCAGTTGGTGGAGGGTTATTGAGATCATTCACCATATCTAAGCCCCGTTAATCTCTTATTCTCAAATTATAGCTTAGTCATTAGAGAAGGAAAGAAAAGTTGTTGGAAAGTTTTCACCTCCATCATAAGGATGAGGTGGGATGAAGCAGATACAAACTGAATGTGTTTGTCATAAACCTCCTGTTGAATAGCACCGAGATTTTCTCTTTTTAATCCTTTTTAGAGAAGCTTACCATTTTCTACTTAGGTTGATATGAGGCCAGTGTTAAAATGTGAGCACTGTCCGTTGTGAGTAATATGTTTGGACCTGAAACTATTTTCTCGAGCTGTTTGTGGTGAAAGAACAGGGAGGAGTGGTACAAGGAGGAATACTTGTAGATAACAGGTTATTTAAACTTCGTGGTTTTCAGCTGTTTTGAACATTATGACAGTTTTGTAAAGGTCCGACCTTCACGCTCTGATTTTGTCTGATTTCAGTTTTCTCGTTGCAAAGCGAGGTCCGATCAACGTGTTTTAGTGTTTTGGTCATTTCTGCACTTTCTCCTTTCAGACTCAAACTTCTTTGTTTTTCACTGAGGTGTGTGATTTGCAGCCAACCACCTGGCTGTTAGCGAAAGTGTTGTCTTAAACTGAAAAGGAGAACTGGCTGATTTGAAGTGAAATGCCTGTAGTTTGATGGGTGTGCTGCTGAGGAGAAATAAAACCCATCAGGTTACTGGAGAGCAGGGGTGGAGGCGGAGAGAGGAGCACAGACAGAATTGATTTATGCCACTTTTCTCCTGACAGAATTTGTAGTTGTTTATTGCAAAATTTATTAAAGCGAGCGTGAAGCAGGTTCTCTGCTTAGGAAGCAAAAAATAAATAAATAAATAAAAAATGGAGAGAAAACCTGCATGTTGGCCTTACAAACAGGAGTGAGATTAAATCTCTAAAACAACCTAAACAAAGGATTAAATGAATAAATGCATTGGATCCAAGTGCTGTTCACTTTGTCTCTGTCATGAAATCCTGAATAAATAGTTCTGTTGCTGTCTGACAGTTTTGTTTTGGTTGTAGACACTCAGACAGGTGATGTGTTCTGAAACAAAGGCTGATGTGTGCTTCATGAGCATCATTAGTTCAAAATGTGATGTATCTGTGTTATTACAGCCGACGTGCAGCATCATTCTGCCACATCAAGGCCGCGTTGAATCATTTTCTGTAACAGGAAGTCTAAAATCTAAAACAGAGCTCGTCACCAGACAGCCACTGTGTAAAGATCAAATAATGCCAACAAAATCACCCGCAGGACGTTCAAAGGTGGATCACATGTCAGGAAGAAGACAAGAACATGTGTTCTGGCTGTCAGCTSATCAGTAAGGAGTTCAGGGATAAAACACAAAGAAAATGTGCATGCTGACATTTAGGAACACTTTTTCAAATTGTTTTATTGAATGTTTGTTTACTACTAAAGTCATTTTTTGTATTTCATAATGTAAAATCTTTAATTTATAGAGTAATCAGATACTAATCMTTTATCCTTAAAAGGCTAAAGTGCACCTCTGCTGTTTGGATTATCTGTTAAAACAAGTTAAATTGTTAGCAATATTTTTACAGTTTGGATATAATTTCTTACTCCTTGCTGAAGTCATGGGCCGAACTGAAAATTCTTGTGTTTTATTAATTTCTTTGTTTTTGTTTGTGCTATGGGGAGAAAATAGACTCATAAAGTTAGTGTGTGCGTAATAAAGTTTGTTTGTGTGTAAATGTCCCAGCTTTTTAGCAGCATGTAAACACATCATTTACACACAAATCTGGGAGCTCTTGGCAGCGTGAAAACAGTGTCAAAATGATTTGTGCACTCGTAACCTGATCTGTGTGTAAATGTAGTTTTGTCCATGCGTATTTAACGACTTGTATGCGTAGGAGCCAGTTTGAATGTGTAATTATCAGATTTGTGAGTTAGAAGGTAAAAAAATGTGTGTGAAATTTTAATGTTTGTGCAYTTTATATTTGTGTGTACTTTTATTTTGTATTCATAACTTATTTGTGTGCACATTTGAATACACACTTGCAAATACCAGAAGTTACGCACAAAATGTTTTTTACGAGTTACATATGTTTTGTACACACAAATTTTATTATACACACACAAACTTTGAGTCTATTTTCTCTCCAAAGTTTTCTCTGTTAAAGAAATATAAAAATCATGACTCATATTTTGTTTCTTAGTGGTTCTAAATGAAGACTCAGATTGATGTCATGCAGCAGATTACAAAGTCATCTTTAGACAGAAAGTACAGGTGCTTGAAAGTGGCCAGCCTCCCAGACTGATTTATGGTTAAAATACTGCCGTCTGTGAGCCAGATGCCATCAACCTCTCTGCTTTCTTCAGCCGTGTCTCTTCTTAATGCTTCATTTAATACCTCTGCTGCTTATACAGATTTATGCTTGGGCTCATTTTGAGCTTGGACTGCGCTTCGCCAAGAGTGTGTATGGTAACGCATTAAAATATAGACATATGTTTCAGAAATTACACAGCAGAATTAAAGGTCTTCATGCTTAAAAAAAAGTGTTTCTCTCCCAGTTGAACTAAACCTTTCAAAGCACCAAACTGCTGTCACAAATCACTGGAACCTCTAAATAATACATGTCCTACGATCTGAGAAACACTTGAAACAAGGTTAGAGGTGTGTTAGAAGCAGTTTATATTAATCAACCTCTCTTATTGACTTGTTCTGACATTTATAATATTTATAACTGCAGGCCTCATCAGCCATTGGTGAAGCATGTTTTAATTTTGATTTCTCTCATTCCTCTCTGTGATGACTAAATGTTTGAGTGTGTTTTCTTATATTTTTGAGTGTATTTGAACCAGATAAAAGTGTTTTTATTGTCCCCCCCCCCCCCCCTTCTCCCTGCAGGCTGTGTTCACTCTTCTGTTGGGGCCGTTCACCTTCTTCAACGCACAGAAGACCAAATATCTTCAGATTCTCACCTCGCTCATGCGCTGGATTGGTAAGAATGATGAAATGTATTAAGTCACTGACTATCTTTGTAAAATTTGTTGTTTTTTCCTGCTCTGGAGCTTACAGGTCTCAACATCTGATCTGTTAGTTAGACAGAGAAGCAACTGTTGCTCCCATCAGTTTAGGAAAGGTTAAAGGTCATTTTTTAAACTATTTGGAGTCTAACATTTTACAGAGAACGTTTAAGGCAACTGTCAGTCCTCAGAGTGGGATCCCTGCAAATTCAAGATTATCAATCATCGGATAAAATTCTTTGAGTGACAGTGTTACTGAAGTGTAAATTTTATGTCCACAAGCCATCGATCATAAACTTATAAGTGATGGTAAACAACGAGACTAATTTCTTGTTTACAGTATGGTAACACTATTTCAAACAGCAAACGAGCCATTTATGTTCATATTTTTGAGTAACATAGCAGCTTAATTAAATAAAACTTAACGCAACAAAAAGAAACTTCTGCTGAGTAAGAAACATATGACGTAACATCGGTCTGCACATGCGCATTTGCCACAAGGTAGGACGAATTGATGGGTAGCACAGATTGTCGAACAACGGCTAATGAGTGGACCATGAAGGATTCTGGAGTCAAATGAGTCCGACTATCCGACAGCTGAAATCTGGGCCAAACCAGGTCATGATCAGCTGATTTACAACYCAATGGTTGAAAAGGAAAAGAATGAAGGTGCTGCGACGGTGCAGAGTCCAGAACCTTTGCCTGATTAAAGTCCTGCTGGGACCTCAGAGCTGTGCAGAAAGCTTTTGGTTTTGAGTTGTTTTTATTTGCCTTCTTTTAGAAACTGTTGTGTTTGTAAAGCTCAGAACAGAAAGGGAGTGTTTTAGTTTTACTGTTTATATTGTCACCATTTTTTCTTGTTTCCTCTCATTTGTTTGAGCCCTCCTGTTCTTTCCCACCAACACCTATTTCC